AGAGTTGAGAGTCTCGTTTCGAGCCTCGCATTTACTAAGGTCGAATAAATCGAGATTCAACGCAATTTCCTTAACAATTGCACAAGTTTAAGCAGAAACTATTGGCTATCGACTGCGAAAATTACCGGTTGCTGCTTGTTGAGTTGCATTTACAAAGCTGAAAAAATAATCAGGTTTTAATGCGATTTTAACCAAAATTTCAGGATTTTAAGCTTCAGCTATTGACAAAAGACCGTGAAAGTTTCCCTTTGTTACTAGTCCTAGTTTGGAAGTGGTACACTTTAAAAGAGAGCAAACACCCAGGTGGGCAAGTGGCCCCAATAGTAGAAAGGTGCCCAAATCTGGAACCGTTTGTAGTGTAAAAGCAACTAGTGTTCACTTCATTAAACCCCAGAAACCAGAGAAAATTGGAAAATCAAAAAAATGAAAAGACTGAAACTGCAAGAGTGCAATTTGGCAAACACTAAATCAGTCAGTCTCGCGTTGATGAAAATTTACCGTGTATTTGTAGCTCATAAAGTGTTGTGTAAAAAGCAAACAACATAACAAGAATAATATGTAGTATTTTATTAGGTGTTTTGAAGGATATTTGCAAAATATCGGAGACATTTACCGTTTGATGTGGTGAAGTATTTATAAACCGCGCATTAGAGCGCATAAAACGAGCTGAAAAACTCCCGGCAAGTGAATTAAGTGGGTGACAAGCCGGGCTCTCAAAGATATAGGAACACACAGCGGTAAATTTACTGTTTTTATTTCGATGGCTTCCACCCTTAATTAGTTGCAGCATCAACTGTGTTAACACACCCAGACAATTTACCGGTTCTTTGCCGGGCTTTGAGGTTCTATTTTCGTCGCTTTAAAGCGCGCGGGCAACAACAACAAAACAGTATTAATTTGTAATGTTTCGAGTTGTTCAAGCAGCGACTATTAGCTGATTTATCAATGCCCAGATAAGTCAATTCGGTGGTTGGGTCACCGCTCGTCGATATTAAACGTAATTAGAGGATAATTTACGTATTTCTTGTTTACTCTCTTCGCTGCGAAAAAACCACCAATTTCTTTAAAAACCATTAATGAGTCATAATTTGCGTCAAGCTTATTATTCCGACAAGTAAATAAACAAACAACTTTGAACCAAAACAGTTGAAGAGTTTGTTTTGCTCGAAGCAAATCAGCGTGGAGGACATCCGGCTGACTGCGCCAACACCTTATGCGTTTTCTAGGTCAATCCAGCCAGCTGCCAATGCCCAAAAACCCCCAACAGAATGCAATCAATTGCTTCCTTTGACTACTAAACCAATCAAACTCCTTTTGATCGTCATCTTGTTATCAATGATTCCACTTTGAGTCCAGACAGTGTATCGTCTGGATGGATTTTTCCTTCACGAATTGACGATGAAATGCTTTTCCGGCACAGTATGTTGGTTGCCTTCAGTCGATTCGCCTCCGAAACGGAGGTCGCCGTTATAATGAGGCTTATCTTTGAGGTCGGAGGTCACCGGGACAAACAAAACGAAGCGTGTGTGACGTAAATGGAACGTCATTTTTCTTCCAGCGATTCGGATAAAGTTAATTAATCGGAATTGTTCAAAATCTTGAGTGGACTTTTCGGTGCCAGCTAAGGAAATATCGGAAATTTTCTCACGTTTGCCACTGTCTCAGCGATTTGATTTTAATCTGCATGCATCAATTGATGGCTAGATGCGGTGAAAATTTCAAGTTCCTACTTGTTCTGGTTGAAAAGTTATGAATTTTTAAACGAGAGCGAAAGTCTGAATCTTTGATATTTACGAACGGCGTAAAAATTAGGATTTAGCACCATTTTGTTGATATCGTTCAGATTTTAAACCCCACATGGTTTCCTATTGAAATGAAAATTTCAAGTCCTGACTTGAATTGACTACGTTTTCAAAAAGCTCGAAAATCGGSATTAAATCCGCTTTCAATCCACGATTTAGCATCTTCAGCTTCAAATGCGGGCGGTCGACTGTAAAAAGAYCAAGTTTCTACTTGTAGCAGATTGAAACAAGAACGAGTTTTTCAATGAGAGAATMAACGTCTGATTTGAAATTGATTTTAGCACTTGCATTTACAAAGGACGAAAAAATCAGMATTTTATGCGATTTTACTGAAACTTTTTGGTTTCTACAGCTCGAGTGTTGACTGTGAAAATTTGGAGTTGCAATTCGTTGCATGTTCGAATTAAAAAGAAAAACGTTCACTTTGAGACTTACATTATATTTTATGGAAAGTTATTGTCTTGGCTTTTGACTGTGAGAATTTCAAGTTTCTGCTTGTGCTAGTTGCAAAGTTGCGAATTWAAAAAAAAAWATWTGTAATGAAGCATGATTTGTGAAAYCCGCATTTGCARGGGACTCAAAAATCAGGTTTGCTTGCGATTATTTTSAAAAATTCACTGTTTGARGCCCCAATTTCTTGCTATATATTGTGACACTTTCAAGTTCCTACTTGACCCAGTTTGGACGTTATGATTCGAAAAAGAGCAGACATCTRGATRGCAACACTCATTTTACRACGCAWTTATACACAGTAAAAAAATGAGTTTSGTTTCATTGAAAGTTTGCTATGGATTAGRAGGCTCCATTTGTTCAATTTAGAAAAATTCTCAAGTTTAAAATA